CAACCGCAAAAGCGTAGAAGTCGGAGGGCGGAATTGGTGTATTTTGCTGCACCATGATAGGTGTGGTGGATATATCCGCAGATGCAGCAAAGCCGGAGTGTGGTGATGTGAGGAGGAGTGATGGAGGCAGGTCTGCGGCTGATAGATTTTGCAGGAATTCCTGAATATGACCGGCGATAAGGTCGAATGGTAGACTGCCCGGCAGACAAACAAACTTGGACCGTTTACTATTCGATCCGCGGCGGCGTGTCCGAGTTGGCGTAGGGGCTGGCACTTCGTCGTCTCTCGCCCTCCTTTCGTAATGACTCAATGATCTTGAGCATCTCTTTCCTTCCACCGTGGCTGTCAATGACCTTTCCGGCCATGGACATGGACACCTTCTCGTTGTAGTTGGCGTTGAGAAGGCGTTTAATCAGCAGGTGGCGCATCAGAATGCACACAAAAACGCCGCAGTCGCTGCTGTTCTCTTGCTGCGGGCAGTCCTCCATTTGCGTAAACTTGAGCGGGATGCCCAGGATTTTGCTGAGCCGATCGGCACATTTCTGTGCCTCGTAGCAGTTGGCACCACCGAGCGAGTCGTAGTGGAAGGCGACTTTGTCGATGACCGAGACGAGGAGGAGAGACCAGTGGGTGCCTCCATCGGCACTCCCGCCGTCCCTCGCGTCGTTGATGGGCAGGAAGATGTGCGTGGTCTTGGAAAAGTCGGGCAGCGCACTGCCGATGCTCTTGACATCGACCGCCTGCATAAGCAGGAAAGTCATGCTTGGGCGCAGAAGGACGATCCGAGCCCGCGGGTACTTTGGGAGGATCTCCCGCTCAAGCCATCTGAAGAGGTGTTGTTAGAGTCGGTCTTGACAGGAGATGGGCAAATTAAAGAGCAAATAAACAAGATGGAACTGGTGGTACAAAGGAATATGTCCCAATGTTGAAAGGAGGGTGACGCAGAAATGAAGGAAGTGGTAAAAGGGGGCAGAAAGGGGGCGATATCAGAAAACGTACTCTTCCCAAAAGGCGATGTTCTATACAGAGGTTAGCTGCAAATACTATAAGTGGGAAAGAAGGCGGAACTCACGCTGTCGGTCAGCCAGTCAGACCTGAGGGCCTTGATGTCGTCACCCGTCACTGAGGAGGTGTCAGCTAACCTGTCCAGGGGAGTAAACACGGGTGGCAACATACACATAATATCATGGTCTGTGATCGGTGGCCTCGATGATTAGTCTCTTGTATATGTGCGCCCCGTATACCAAGTGCTACTTACACGACAGATATGGGGTCGTCGGGGAGAGCTGTACAAGGTCAGTTATGGATTCACACTCCCAAGGCGGTTGGACATGAAGTATCTTTGCTTTCAAGAGATACGGGCCTTGTCTACAGGTTCCCACTATCTCGAAAGTGAGAAAAGCGATCCTGCGCAGCTTGTGTCTCGAGTGTCTCGAGTGCCATTTGGGCAGCTGCTGGGAAGACCACAGGGGCATGCCCAACTTTGAGCGGCGGGCAGAGGTGGAAAGAGTACATCCAGCCGAAGGAGGGAAACACAGCCAAGCTTACCGAGTCCACGAAATGCCTTGCGACTCTTTGCCGGAAAGGCATCTTTGTATTCTTCGGCCCGGCGGGCTTCTGGGAAACTCGACCGACGTTGCTTGGGTAGATTGACGGATGGTAGAAGCGGCGAACGGACTGGTCGGAGAATCGTGGTGTGATGGGAATAAAAAGAATTTCGGACGCAATTGTCGAGAAGAGTGTGGTAAAGAAGCGGACGAAATTGAGGATTAAGTTCGGGTCGAGGGTGCAAGAGGAAGGCGAGGCAGGCGACGGGGCAGGAGCACCTCGACAAGTGTAACGGACCCAAACCTTCAACGACTATTTCCGGATGAAAGACAAACAGACTTGTCAGCCTACGCGCATTTGACGAGGCGAAAGTGGGGTCTCTTTCGGGAAAAGAGGGAAGCGCATACCTGGGATATAGAGGAGGTTAAGATTCAACGACGACGATAGCATGGAGTGGTGGTGATCAGGATATGGGTTGGAGTTTTCAGGTTAACTCGGAGGTCCTTTGTCTGGCGCTACCCCGTGGAATGGGAGGGCTTATGGGGATGAGGGGCCACCCTGCGCTGCGCCATGGTTCTTTGGCCCATCGGGTGCCCCGCACCAAGTCCCCATGTCTTGCCTTTACGCACGCGGCAGGCCTGGAATACTCGAATACCTTACCGGCTGCTAGCCCAATGTGGCTGTGCCTAAGACTGTAAATGACGTCCCTTGGTTACATGCCCAGTTACTGATCGATCTCTCTGGCTTCCATTTCATCGTCTCCAAATAATAAGCTTAATTCCATATGGAGCAAGTCAAGGTCAACGGGAAACCACAGAAAACACAGACCTCAGTTACACAACTCCTGAACCTTCACCTCGATGAGTAAGCGGTGTGCAAGGGCCTGCCGGCATTGAGTTGGAGTTGCCGCCAACGTCACCGAGATCAACCACAGATCTCGAATAGCACGTGCCTAGCTTCATTTGCACAAAACGACGCTTAACCCTTTTGGGACTTATACAGCTTTCACGGGGCATGTCAACACTGGTTGCGACTCCCTCGTTCGGTATTCCGTTGCTTGACTTTCTTTCGCTGTGACGATACTTTGAATTTTCCGAAGCGTATTTTGACTTTTGATTTTCTTCCTCATTTGCCACCTCGAACCTTATACACATACCCAAAGACCCGGAGTCGAAGTCAAGGGACATGAGGTGGATGAGATTGAGGACTGTGTGCCAGGCAGGGCGATTCAGGCCGATCTTGAGCGAGAAGAAAATCAACTGGGCGATGTTTAGTTTGATTCTGGCCGAATACGTGTTGACTGGTGGTTCAGTATAGGGGGACAACGGGGGAGGAAGATGAGCCCACCTGCGAACCACCGCCTGGAATATCCTACGATTAGGCGTTTTGGGATCATAGCATGCTTTGACTTTTGAAATTTCTTGTGTGTGGGTTCATAGTGATAGATTTAAGGCCCATATATGCCTGCGAGAACGATGAGGGTTCGTGTGCCCAAAAAACTCTGTTGCAGTCGCAGCTACAATCTGAACGTTGATGATTTCGTCACTCGACCCCTATTTTGGAGTCACGAGGAATTCTCAATTGGGTCATGGGGATATTTGAACAATAGGAAGCACCTAGCTGACCCGTATATTACGTAGGGGAGGTTTGGATGGAATAATAGACCAAAATTCTGGTCACCCTCTGCCTGCAATCTACTGTCTATTCACCCAACTGACTAATAGAATGACTATGAGAATTAGGTTTTATCGTGGACCTCTTCCCTCTGAACTTTGGCATTGACTTTCCAACAGACGCTGCACAATAAAAAGGTTCGGTGTGGGAATTTGTGTTTGGGAGACTCAAATTCAATATTATCCTCCCCGAACTGATTTTGACCTCCACCAAACTTTCTCCGTCCAGCCACCGTGACCTATATAAACATCTTCCTCTCCTCTCAATTCCAGATCTCCTCTTCTTTCCTTCGGTACTCACACAACTTCCAACACCTTGGTCTTCCATCACATTCAAGACCAACCTCCAGCATCAAACACTTTATCGACTTTACCCCTATTTTAAATCTTACTTTGATCTATCACCCTAAACCATACCAACGACAAGATGCTTTCCTCAAACGCTCGCCCTTTGGTTGCTCGTGTGGCTCGCCGTGCGGCCATCACCGGTCAGCCCGCTCGCTGCTCGAGCCAGCTCACCACGACCCCCAGCGATGGTGCCAAGTCGAAGGAGGAGGAGCGTCCCACGCAGCACGATGCTGCCAAACCGACCATCTTCGACCTCAAGATCGAGACCCCCATCAACAAGAGCAGCGAGTGGAACATTTCCTTCGCTCCAGAGCAGGCTGGTGAATCTCCTGCCAGAGGCCAGTCGATGCGTGACTTCAGGAATTCTCGATATCCTCCTCGAGGTGCCACCACCGCCGGGCGGCCAATCCGCCTCCCACCTTCCAATCTGTTTTCGTCCCTGGCCGTCGATAGGAAGCCTTTTGCCCAGACGGAACCCCTTTTCGTCTCTGACCGTTGGTGTGACGAGATCGGCGAGGCGCGGACCATGGAAATGTTGGGCAAGCTCCACGCCGAGGCCGACAAGCCAGCGAAGCAGAAGCTGGCACCCTCTGCTACATATTTTCCCGGCAACCGTGGCACCCATTTTCTGCCCAGCCTTGACAAGCTTCCCGACGACATCTACTTTCGGATCACGAATAAGGTGCGGCTTCGCGTTGGAATCGAAGCCGGGATCAAGCGCACCAGAGACCATGAGCAGCCCCGGAGAGCCCTACCTCCCTCTGCGACTTCCTCTGCGACTTCCTCTGCGACTTCCTCTGCGACTTTGGGGGGCATTCCATACTGGTACTACTATCCTTAGACCAGGGGCATCAGCAACCGGCATTTATCTCCACGCATAGCATAGTCGACACTTCTCGAGGCGTTTGGTTCAGTCGATGGTGGCCAAAAGGCCAGCTAACATCATCTCGGCGTTTGGGTTTTTTGAGTTTCAGGCAGCATCCCCTGGTCGATAACGACGGATTATCAAGGAACGACCAGTGAAGAGTGGGTGCGAGACACTCAGCACCTAGAAGATAGTTAATACCAGTCCCGTTCCTTTTTACCTGCCTCTTTACAACGTATGGCTTCTGTGAATCTCTTACCTGTATCTCGTAGATGACTAACCGGAGCGCTTTTGTATTATACCGTATCTTCGTCACTTGTACATTGCTTTGTCTCCTTTCAGAAAGCAAGAACGAAATTCCCACCTCCAGGTCGAATCCTATCTCATTGGACCCTTGAATCGTAACAACTGTCTTCATAACACGTGATGTCCGAAACTGTGAATAACCTCACATAACCTTCACGCCACACCATCCAAACAACCCACACCTTGATGTCCCCGGAGGTCAAGCCCAGAGGGCATATGGATTACTTCCATGGTATACCTACTACCAAATATGCCACAAAGTCCCTGTAGCTCGGTGGACAGAGCGCGGACAGCGTTGCCTATTTCACACAGCGTTTGAGATTAGCGGGTTTTCCAGCGAAGTCTACTCAGCGAAATATCAGCGCATCCGAGGCCAGCGGTTCGAATCCGCTCGGGGATATTTCTTTGGGCTGGGTAATCTAGCCATATTTCCTCTTTTGTCTATAGTCCCATTACGGCATGAATGAATGGATGAGGAGGGAACTGAACAGTGAAAACCCCCCTTTCTTCACTCTTCCTTCAGATAGGTGCGGTGCTCACAGGTCCAACACGGGTCAGTTATTTGGTCTCGGCCGCCGGCAGCGGCTTGTTTGACCCAGAGTGCGAGACGGCCAATGTTCTCAGCAAAAGGGGAAGGAGGCGGCGGGAACTCAATCCTCCCCTCGTGGCCCCTGCCAGTCTGACCGGTTGTTTCGATATGATTCTCAACGGATGATGACTGATTTTCCCCATCAGGCCTTACTGATATTGAGCCAGGCACCTTATTTTACTGGGAATAAAATAGGGGTAACCAAATCAAACAGCTTGGGATCCAGGGGCTCGGGATTCGGTCACGGCGCACCTAAGGAGGAAGAGGAGGAAGAATCTTGGGAGAACACGATAAGCAAAAATTCCAACATGACGAACCTTGAGAGTATCACACATGACTTTGTTTATACATAAGGACGGGGTTGAAGTCATTCAGTACTTGGACATGGAGTTGGGGTTTTGGAGAAGCGTTGGAGAACGAGGGCCTGAGGGGCTTGGGAAGCAGGGGAATGAGGGGCTAAATTAGCTAAGCCAAGCCTCACTGCCGTCTTGGCCCTTAACCGCAATCCCCGGGATTCTGGCTTATCAATCAGGCCAAGGGACTCGTAACCATCTCCTCCATATCATAAGATCCCAACGGCATCACTCTAAAGCTTCACGGGAGAGGCAACACCATTTCCCGGCCCGTAACTCAAAGACACGAGCACTTCACAATACCCCGGCTGTATGGAAAAAGTACACAACGGGGCCGCCGCCATGAACTCCACCCAAGACCAGGTCCGGGTGTCGAGCGACAAGGAGAGCATCACTGAGGACGGCCGCTGCACGATGCTGCTCAATGTCACCCGTCTACGAGACCTCCTATTCCGCCCGACATTCCTCAAGCCAGCATATCCATCCATCTCTTCCATCCGGCGAACATCCCCAGACCGACTCAGCGCGTCCGACGCATCACCGAGCCCATTCCCGGACGAGCCGATTCCAGCGACCTCGCTCCAATCCACTTACACGCCGCCGGGCGGACCACCCACCGTCCTGTACCTCGCATATGGCTCCAACCTCTGCGCGCAGACATTCCTCGGCCAGCGCGGCATCCGTCCCATAAGCCAAGTCAATGTCTCTTGTCCGACCCTCGACTTGACATTTGATCTCCCGGGCATACCCTACATCGAACCATGTTTCGCCAACACGGCGCCTCGCAAGGTGCCCAAGACACCTCCTAAGCTGCCCCCCGATCTGCCCAAACCACCACCGAACATTCCCGACATCCCGAAACCGACGCCTCCGGTTCCTTCTCCTCCTCATCCGCCGCCGCCTATCAAATGGGACGAGGCGCAACAAGACAAATCGCCCGAGTTTCCCCAAGACGGGAGTAGGAAAGAGCCAGTCTGGGAAAAGGGCCTAATAGGGGTCGTCTACGAAGTGACCAAATCCGACTACGCGCACATCGTGGCCACCGAGGGCGGAGGCCTAGGCTACAAAGATATTCTCGTACCCTGCCTGCCTCTCCCCGCGAGCGTGGGCGTCCCCGAACGACCCCCCGAGATTCCGATCCCCTTCCTGGCACATACCCTCTTTGCGCCCCAAATCCCTGACACCCCCGACAACGACGACGACAAGACCACCACTCCATCGCAACTCGAAAACCAGTCCAAATCTCTCCTCCCCAGAGGAGACGATGACGACGACAAGCCGCCCAGTCCCAAACCACCAACTCCCCCCGACCTGCCGAAACTAATCGCCAAACTCCCTCCCGCCCTCCAAAAACTCTTCCTCCCCAAATCGCGCGCAAAATCCCACCCGTTCGAGCCCTACGCCCAACCCTCGGCGCGGTACCTCTCCCTCCTCGTAACAGGCGCGTTCGAACATGACCTACCGCAAGATTACCAAAAGTACTTGGCGTCCCTCCAACCGTACACCATCACAACATTTGGTCAGCGAATAGCCAAGTACCTGGTTTTGATCTTCTTGATCCCAGTAATGTTCCTCATCATGTTTATCGGTCAGAAATTCTTTACCGACCCCAAGACGGGCAATCTGCCTCTTTGGTTTGGGCTTGTCATGAATTTGTTTGGGAATCTTACCTGGGGTGGCTATGATCTTGTTGGAAAGAAATTGTGGGGGGATGGGGAGCGGACTATGGAGGACGAGGACGAGGACGATGACGATGACGATTCAAATGGAGTAATAGCGAAAAGTTGGGGGAAAGAAAAGTGGGCGGATACAGAGAAACAGTCTTTGTTGGCGCAGAATATGTTGCTGAGGGATTGGTAAGATTGGTACCTTCATTTTTGGGGCGATTTTCCAGGTATTGGTCTTTAGTTTGATGCTAAAAAGGATATGTTATTTTCAGTTTGCCAGGAGTTCAGGTTTCTTGGGCAATAACAACGAGGATTGCTTGTCTTTGACAGGGTCATTGTTTTGGGGCTACTTCACGCCAACTCCTTTTTCCTACCATCTTGTAACTTGACTACCTAGTACATATATGGACACACTCCTTTTGGGCTTTCCAGGTATCGTTAATTCATGGCTTTTCTTCGTCCATGCTGATATGTCGCTACCTTTGCGCGATCAATTTACACTTGACTTCAGAGGCCCAGTCCCGCTGTCAAAGGTCTATGGAAACAGTGTTGGATCCAAAATGTTGCTTTCAAAAGGAAGAATTGTCTTGCCTAAAAGAATCGTGAATGGTCTTGAGCTTACGAGTCACCAGAGTGAGAAGCCATATCCTGTCTAATAATGCCTTTATTATGTGGTTTGTTGATCAAGGCAACAATACCAACCATCCAACCCAGCCCTCAGTATACCTAACATAAACTAAAAGATAAAATGTCCCGGACTTTTCCATTATCATCGTCCGCTCCAATTCTTGGAACAATGCAATTTTGTCTTCCCTAGTGACCGTCGAGCCAATCCCACCGGACCCTTAGACCACCCACCAAATAGTCCCAGAGGTAGCGTATCAAATTACCCCGATTTATCCTCTAACTTGGTATATCCTGCACACGTTACCGACCCCGATTCCCGTACCCGACCAGCTCAGTACTGCAGCCAGCCCGTCCGTCCCGTGTCCGGTTCCCCGATTCTGCTGCCCATATGCGTCATGTGATATCAACCCCCACACGTTTTATAGACCTGCCAATTACTTCCTGAAAAGAGAAGGAATATCTTCCACCTTGACCTTTTGGTCCAAAATGCCATCTACCACCTTGAACAGCGGGTACTTGTCCTCAAAGCCTCTAGCGCGGAGGAATTTTATTACCTCGCGGGTGGTCGAGATACCCTGGAGCTTCTGTCCGTTTAGCTCGGTCCGCTCAATTTCCTGGAGCGAAACACCCCTCTCGACCGCCATCTTGGAGTAGCGCCAGTTGCGCGCCGCGGTGCAGCTGACAATCATGTCACCCCAGCCGGCACTCTCCTCCCAGAAGGTCTTCTCCTCGATAGTCTCGGGGAAGAATTCCCGCGCAAAGGCGATGATCTCGAGCATGCCTCTGCGCATGACGGCTGTCTTGGCCGTCATGTTCCATCCGTGGCCCTCAACGAAGCCACAGGCCAGGGCGACTATATTCTTGAGAGCACCGCCAAGAGATACGCCGACCACATCGGAGACCATCGAGACTGTAAAGTAAGGGCGGCTAAAGAGCTTGTAGAACACATCGTGGTTGAGAGTGGGGTACGACGCAGGCACGGGAGTGAGTTGGGTGCTGCTGGGCTGGCCACGTGCGTTCAGGTGGATGAGAGCATTCTTGTGGACAGGGTGAATGCCAGCGAAGCCGTTGGAGTCGCCATTTCCATTTTGGTGCAGGTCGCACGCAGGTGTGTTGTAGGCGATGGTGGTCTCGCACCACATCTCGTTGGCAATCTCGCTGGCAATGTTGGCACCGCTCAGCGCACCGCAGTAGATGCCCAGGGTGTCACCAATGTACTCGCTGATGAGCTCAATGGCATCGTCCGTCACTGATACACCCTTGATGCAGCTTATGCCCCGGGCGTAAGGGGCAACGTTGCCCTTGAGCTGCTTGCAAATGTTGCCAATGAACTCGTGGGGGAAGTTGAAGATGAGAATCGACGAATCCTTGACCGCATCGGGCAGGGACGGGTTGGCGACCACATTGTGCGGAAGGGCAATTTTTGGCAGGTACTTGACGTTCTCGTGGTACGTGTTGATAATGGACGTGAGTTTCTGAGGGGTCGAACCGATCGAGGCGTCGTAATGGGGAGAGTCTTCGCCGAGGGTCACTTGCTCCTCATACACCCACATCTGAACATCGGTCTCGAAGAGATCTGGATGCTCGGCAGTGCTTTCCGCAACCAGCTTGGCGACGGTGGTGCCCCAGTTGCCGGACCCGATGACGGTCACCTTGTGTTTTTGTTGAACTGACCCCGCGGCTGTCATTTTGGCGGTGGATTGGCGGGGGAGGAGTTGGTGAGTGTTTGGAGAAAAGGCGGTGGAGGCGAAGACTGGTCTGCTAGGAGATCTTGGTTTCGGCCTTGGGCTGGGCAGGGAGGAGAGACTGGAATGGCGAGGTTGAGGTAGTCGCTGATGGTGGGATGTCGACAAGCAACGACGATTCGGACTGGGAGGAGAAGTGAAAGGACAAGATCTGGGACCGGAAGTACAGCCGGGACTGGATCTGGACCTGGGGCAGAAATCGAAAATGGGGTAGCTGTTATGGGTACTATGGGGCGAGTGGAAGAAGCTAAGATTTTGGTGAGACAACAAAATCGGGCGGGAACGAGATGGTAAGCAGCAACGTGGGTTTGCACTATTCGGTAGCAAGGTTCTGGGTATCTTCTTATAGGGTAATCGCGGGAGGCAAATGGCCCTCATTGGCAATTACGTAGAGAAAATCAAGAGCCTCGGTGCAAAGA